AAATGAAAGCTGTGATTTCCATCCAGATCTTGTGTAGCATTTCAGATGAACACATTCCCAGGTGCTCATGGGAATGTGAAACTCAGTAAAAACAGACTTTTTAATACAGTCATTTCAATGATAAATCTAGCCTTGGGTTGAATTTGTATATGTTAGGCTCATTGTAGACCTGTGAGTCTGTTGATTTTCTTAGTGAAAGGCACTGACATGCATGTTGTTTCTATTGCTCCGAGCCATTTAAAAGCCTTCTCCTCTGTACATTAATGTGCAACAGACCCAGATCATCTTCAAACTTCTAACCCAAAATTATTTTGATAGCTTTTTTTAATCACTGAACTTCAAGAAACTTAAAAAAAGAAGTAAATAAAAAATAGATAAAAGACAGTAATCTCCCCGTTGGGGAATTGAACCCCGGTCGCCCTCGTGACAGGCGGGGATACTCACCACTATACTAATGAATGCACTACTGTGGCAGGAAGACCTTTAGCGGTTGGATTTGTTGTTTAGTGAGCATGAGTCTTGAGCCAGAGTCAGGTGGAGAACAGCAGCAGTTTATTTTTCATTCATCATCAACAACCACTTCACAGCTGAAACTGCAGTCTTAAATAGTCCCAGCTGTGTTGGACCAAACCATATTAAATTCACAGGGGAATCTCTTAATCAATCTCCACCTATTTACCTAAAATACATTTTATTAAATACACTACTTCTATTTACTTTTTATAAATATTTTCTATTTTATCATTGCACCTTAAATAAACACCACAAAACCCACAAACAATTCCCCCCCTAGTCCTTTCAATGGCCTCGCCCAGAATCTATATATGGCGTCTGTACCCCCGGGGTAGAATTTGTCCAAACACCCTGGAGAGGACACAGAAAAGACAGGTGAGTCACTTTACCACAGCACTCAGATTATGCACACATTTGCTTAGTTTTTTCCTCACCATTAGCTCATTGCTCTGACTAATAATTATGCTCCTCCACAGGCAACAGCAACCAACCTCAGCCATCAATGAGGAGCAGCCATGCAGAGCCCAAAACAAAGGCTACATAACAATGCTCAATAAATATAATTACAACTTCTTGTGTGCAAATTTATTGTTGTGCAAATCTCTGCTTAAAGTGCAAATGCTAAATAAAGTGTTTAATACAGTGCAAAAATACCTATTTAAGTGCCATACAGTGCTATATATGTAAAATAGTCCCAGTAATGAAGATCTCTTCATTACAACTACTGATGCATTCACGGACCAATCGTAAATCTGGACTCTAAATACTTATTTTGTTATTCTTTTATATTGGTTGGATAAAGTTTGTTGATTTCTGGAGACTGGTCACTCTGGCTAAGGATGGGTTGGTTGATAGCTCAGTTTTTAGCATGGACTAATAACATATATCCTTAGGTCGAGGAAATGTTTTACCGTATCTTATTGCAGCATCTGTCCAAATGTTGCTCAATGCCCACCAAAAAGACAATTGCTGTTATACATAAAAATATATACGTTATATTGTATAGTTGACCCTAAACATGAGACGATGAATCTCTGTGTTCTGTAAATATTCCATGATTGTCTGCTGTGAATGGTCTTCATGGCTGA